GGATAACGACCTCATGCAGGAATATCATTTCCCAATGTGCTACCAAACTACCACCGAGGTCTCCACCAACCTCAACAAGGGTTAACCTGAAACACTCCATGAGAGTGGTTCATTAGGACTAAGCCTCTGATGAGCCCAACTTCCAAGTTTACAATCCAATTGAGCCAGGGCCTAGACTACAAACCAAGGCGAGAATCTGTGGCACTCATGCCACATGCGCTAATGGTCGCTTTCATCCACAGAGACAACCGGTCCCACATAAACCAATCAGTGCTCCCACTCAAAAACAGGGTGTGCACCTCTATGACAGAAATAAAATGAGTGCCCCTCATGGAAAATTAAAAGAGCTAATGCCACAAATCCCAACACAAACCACTTTCCTCCTCTCTTCTTTGAAAGGCTATATGTCATAGATAGCAAATGTAAAAAAGGGGTCCCCATTAGCTCATCAAGCATGTGCAGATTAGCTGCTATTTCACACAATAAAAACGCCAAAATCCATTCAATGCTAGTATCCATATACATGAAGTAAGATAGAATGTTTTACTCAGTCTAATGACAAGGATAATACATAATACTAGAACATCAAGTCTAAAGAATGATCAGTGCAAGGATGATAATAAATATAATTAAATTACCTCTCATGAATGGCCCTATTAAATGCTTTTGTATACCACCTTCAACTTTCCTGGTTGTTGGGGGTTGACCTTTACCTCTTGGTTGCACCTAAAAAGTAAGAAAAGCAAGCTTAAAGCTAGCAAAAGGAAACAGTATCATGGAAACAGTAACTGCCCCTCAACATTTAATGAACCTGCGCCTGAGGATTCATGCCAAGAGCAAGCACAGCGCCCAAAGCTTCAGCAAAGGCATCTCTCACATGTGACACAGGATCCTCAAGAGCCTAAAGAACATAAAACAATCAATAAAACAAACAAAAGCATGCATAATATTGTGACTAAAACAAAGAGATATAGACATGAGTATTTGAAGCTATGCCAACAAGAATCAGATTATTATAGAAATGAATTGCCCAAGAGAAAGAGTCCCATGCCTTAACACAATAAGAAGCAGAATTTTCAAGCTCTGTAACTCCCAATCCAGGTCCTCCTATGCTAGCAAAAGTCTTGAGACATCTAGCTGCAGCTATTCTAACATGAAAAGATTTATCCCCTATTCCTGCTCGCATAATTGTACGGAAAGCTTCAGAGTAAGCAGCAAAAGAACCTCCGCCACCTGAACCTTCTAAAGCATTCTGAAGCATATGCAAAGCTTCTTTTCTCACAAAATCCTGAAAATTAATCAAGTCACAAATTGGAAACCCATAAAGAAAATATAAATGTTTGCTGGTGAAGAGAGAGAGAAGGAAAGGAACCAGTATAGTATGTCCGCGAGGTAAATTCAAAATTATCAAGCTCATACCAGAATCTCATTAGATGAAGTACAATCAGAATAGTTCCAAATACCATATGCACGAAAGTTATTTTTGAATATTGAGCAAAAACTGAAATTGAAAGACTTAATTGAACTCACAAGATCAATATAGTAGCAATTTAAATAAAAAAAAAAGGAAGCAAGTTAGTTCCAATCAGCCCCGCATGAGATAATGTTCACAAATCTAAAAGAATCACCATGAACATACAAGAATAGGAACCAATTCATTGCTTATGATGTTCTAATAGGGCTGAAGGAATATTAATTTCAAGATATCTTCATAAGAACATATTAGAGCTTTTCACAAGTAGCCTATTGTCAAACCTCCAGGTAGGTTTATGCAAGGTGTTCAAGGGCATGGTATCAGAACCGACCTTGGTGCACCTAACAAATGA